CAGAGATCGTCTAATATTATCATGAGTTTGTCTTTGAGAGATAAACCCAGTCTGATCGTTATGTATTAATTGCGGGAGAATCTTTTCTAGTCTTCCGGCAAGGACGCTTGCATGTAGTTTGTAATCGACGTTCAGGATCGAAATTGCTCTGTATGAATTGCAGTCTAAATTATCTTTTCCCTCTTTTGGGATAACTGAGATGATCGCCTCGCTCCATGATGGAGGCATTTTGGCCTCCACTAAAGATGCATTGCAAGCCCGAAGAAGACTTGGTATTAATTCAGATCGAAAAGTCTTATACCACTCTGACGTAAAGCCATCGGGGCCAGGAGACTTATTCGTCTTGAGCCTGGAGATGGCATTATTTAGCTCTGTCTCAGTTATTGCAGCTATTAACGTTTGATTTTTTTCCTCAGTTACGACCGGTAAGTTGAAGGAGTCGAGAAATTGTCTAATCTGTAGCTCATCCTCTAGATGTGGTTGTGTATACAGTAACTTGTAATATTTTTTAAAAGTTCTTTGTATGTCATCTTGTTTATATTGTATGTTCTTAGAGTATAAATCCCTTATTCTATATATTGTATTGTCCGTTTGTTGTTTCTGTAGCCTCCTTGCCAAAAGTCTAGTTGATTTAGAGCCTGATTCATAATACTTCTGTTTCGTAAATATCTTTTTTTCAATTTCCTGAGAATATATCATATTTATTTCATTTCTAATTTTCTTTATCTTAGTCATCAGGTTTGATTTTTGTTGTGTTTTATGTTGTCTCTCAAGTTCTTTTAGTTCATTATTGAGATTTGTTAGCCTTAATTGCTTAATTGCCAATATCCAACACAATAACCTGCTCGATTCACTTTACTCAGACTGCCGCTCTCTCCACAGCACTGAAACCATCTTAACTAAAGTTCTTCTAAACTACTTCTTCTTCTAAAGATCTTCTAATGTCTGCTGACTCTTGGAGCCCATAGCATCCTCATCCTCGACCTGCGTGCGGCCTTCTGCACTGTCCCACAGCATCCTCAAGCAGCAATCAAGGCCAAATTTATCATGATTCCTTGCCTGGTTCCTCCACCTTCTGATGAGCTACAATCTCCTCTTATTCACAAGCAGGCCCACAATCACCAGTCACCACAATCACCACAATCCCCACAATCACCACAATCAGAGGCCAGTTCTTTGTCAGCCGTACACTTGAAGGGACCCCTGCAGAATGAATAAAAATTACATTTTCATACAGACATCAAATCTTCAATTAAAAACTTTTTGAAACATACAGCAGAGTCACATCACTAAGCTGAAAGCCCAACTCAGAGCAGCTTCCCATCTGACCCCTGACTGTTAAGGACCTCCCTCAATGGTACAACAGCAGGTCCCCATGTCACTCCGATCCACACCCTTAACACCCCACCCGCTGTCACCTGAACACCCAGTCAAACACAGTATTAAACATTCTCTATAATGGCTAATATCACAGGAGGCCCACAGTGTGGTGACTGTATCTGCTGTGAACTGCAGGTACTGGGCGGCTCTGCACAGCCAGCATGACCCTCTGACATCTTCACCCTCAGCCTGTAAACAGCCGCTCGCTCTACACAGCCCTGTGTCCCCTCTGATCCCTCATAGGTCATTAAACAACTGGCATCACCCGTAACTGAAGGATCAGAGAGTGTAGGATTCACTCTGGGGCAGAAGCATGTTTATCAGACAGAGTATAAACTCACCTGGAGGGTTTTCATCAGGAACTTCTTTGTCTTTGTTTTCATGCAGATTACAAAGAAGACCGTCTGATTCTGGAGGGAAAAGAGAAACAAAATCAGCTGGTCCTGTACCAAATCAGAAACAGTGACAGTCATCATCTCTGCACACTGGTGATGCATTAGCATACTACATACAGACACACATTCACTGTGATAGGCTGAGTCATGATGTCATCACAGTCATGATGTCAGCACTGACACACTACCAAAAAAAAAAAAGAATAGAAAATGGCATGAGGAAGAAATTCCAGGTTTATCATCAAACCTGATGTACGCATATATATACGCAGTCTCCCCTTGGGTAAATCAGAACTATCGTATAAATGTGCGTACGTGTTTGAGCCTGAGATCCTGCCCAGTAGTCTCCCACAAATAACCATGAACAGTCAATATGAATGAAACCTTTAGCAAATTCCAATGGAGACTGTAAATAAAAAGAGAAATTTTGTACAGTGAGAGTTAGAGGTCCTCCTGTCAGAGGTAAAGGCAGGACACAGTGTTATATTCGGGGGCCTGAGTACAGGGATCACACAGGAAAACGTGTTGATTGGAAAGACGTCGTCACTGCAGTAAAGTCTATAAGCTCTACAAAACTCCCCGAAAATAAAAGTGGTCGGATCTGACAATATAGGTAAAGAAAAGACTTGCTGAGCACAGAGCCACTATGACTAAGTTATGAGACAAACCCACATCTTCACCCTCAAACTTCATCATGCTGATGGCATCTAACCTGGGGGATTCCCTATTATGCAGGTTTTTTGTCCAGGCAGTTGGGAGATACTGATGTGGATCATGAGGAGACTCAGGCCATTGAGCTACTGTATTGGTCAATGTCATGCCTGCATCACAGGCTACTTGTGCATTAACAGAATTAAATGGCTTTTAATTTAGCACTAGTTGCCCTTATAGTAATGAGAGTGCAGACAGTTGCCCTGATTACATTATAGAAAACGGGAATCACAGCATTTAGTTTTTACGTTTGCCTGTTCGCCCAGAGTGTAGGGAAACACGATGTAGCACCATGTAGTTTGGTTACTCCATCCAGCACAGAAGGCACTGAGGAGCTGAAGTTTGGGTGGGATATGGCTGATCTGTCTGCTAGGTCCCTCTGGTAGGTGCCTGTTGCCAGAAAGCCAACTGTAGTCAGAACCTGTATGTGAACCAGTACAGCCTGAGTTTGAGCTGCTGGTCTCTAATGCTGGACCGACATCAGCACATTATAGTAGGAGAACGGCTCTTGGG